GTAGACTGGTGATGAATTTGGCCGTTCGTCGGAAATAGAAATTTGAAATCTGTTAAACACAGCTCCGGAGTTCGAGTTTTGGAGCATAGCGCAATCATAACATCATGTGAGAGGGGGAGAGTCTCATGGGTCAATTTACAAAGAATATGTGCTAGCTCGAGCTGGGGGGGGGGGGGGTTTGTTGGTGTTCTTCCATGTACCTTATATTTATATAAACAATCTTCAATTCCTTTGATATTTCCTTGAGAGCTTCTCGAAAGCCAGAAGAACCAAGTCCAATGTCTTCAATATCAACGGCGCAAACGCCAGAGCGCAAATATTCGCCCAATGACACCCCAATTTTACTGGTGAAAGGCAAAAAAGATATGAACATTCACTCATGAGGAAATATTAAAAGTCCTGTATAACATCTCTCGGCAACTGTACCTGCCAAGTCTATTGCCTTTGATTGAGAGCAAATTAAGTGGTTTTTTCATAGTTGAAAGAACTCCTAAAAGTTCAATCACTTGGTCGCAAGTAAGCTCACAATTCTCAAGCTTTAAGTCAGCAAAGGGTAATTCCCTGCCAGAGATCTCAGTAAAATAGGCGATCACATTCCTGAAAAAAATGATTTTTTTAATTAATAAAAGTTACATAATTCAGTGCCTGAACGGCCCATCGTCCATGTATACCGTTTTAAAAGTGTACAAAAGTTCCAGAAAATTAAAAGCCCCCAGGGAAATCACATGATGTTGATAGGGGAAGGCATGAAAAGGCTAAAAACCTGAATCCACCCTCGATATAATTGTCACTTAAATCAAGATTCTCCAAATTAGGCATGTGAAGCAGAGCCTGTTTGAGACAGTTTGCATCATCAATTACTAAGTTGCAGAACCTGGAATTTCGCAAAAAACTTTGTTAGTGGACAACCATTTATATTACAAACTCTGTGAGCACCAAAGTTCGAATCAAACTTTATTGCATGAATTAAGAAATATTTTCCCATAGAAAGCATTAAGTGAACTGACAAAAAAATAAATATGCACATCCAGCAATTAGATCCATATGTTCTGCAAAGTACCTCAAATTTGTTTGGTTCAGCATGCTTTGCAGGGAAATAGGGGAAAGGCAAATGAAAACGAAGAAAAAATTTGGGGAGACATACATAATTTCACCCATTTATTCTCCTCTCTTGTGTTTGTATACACAGACAATATGAAGTTTTCCCAGTATAATTGACGAATTTTCAAATAATATATTCCTAGGTCAAAGATAAGAGGCTCATTCCTATGATCAAAAAGTTGAACATAGGTATAAATATTAAGTTACCTTAAATTGAGCACTCGTAATGAGTGCAATGACTTGCCTAGTCCACTTGGGCAACTTGATGATCTCCAACGAAACTGAGAAAGGAAACCTGAAATCTGCAATACCATCCCAAATTACGATTTTAGCAAGTGTTGAATATAAATTGAGATAAAATATAATCAAGTGATGCCCAACTAACATCATTTTCTGAAAGGTCCAGCTTGGAAATACTAGCTGAAACATCAAGGAGGGAATTAAAAATCACTCTTGCAAAATTTCGCCCTAGTTGGTCATCACATAAGGTTAATGATTGCAAAGACCTGCCAACAATTGATGAGTTTAGATACAAACAAACGGCAATATTTCATACGAAGATTGCCATGTCATAATAACAAAAAAGAGAGAAAACAGAATAAAGCTATATCCTCTATGCAAACAAGAATCTATGACTCTTCAAGCCATAGTTTCACTATAAAGCCCAATTACATGATCCCTTCTCCTAAAAGGAAATAATAAAGAAATAACTGACATAGTAAATCACATAAACTATCTGAGCAACAAAACTTAAAAATGAACTATGAAACTATATCGCAGAAACCAAGTTGTATAATGATGTCATAAAATCTGGATAAGTGAGATATCATTGTATTGTGAACAATGTCACAAGCAAGATAAAGTATTTAGACCATATAGACTTATCTTAAATTGAAGATCTAAAAGGGAAAAGCCAGAGTATCTTTTAATTAAATGATCAGGTAGTTTTCACACTGTAAGAGAAATCCTATATTAACATGTTAAAAGAGTAGAAAAGGCATTGCAAAATTGGCCATGGTCCACTCTGTATGGCACAGTCAAAACTGTCTGATCAGCATAAGAACCTTAATTGATCTCTACAAGCCAGATTCAAATCACAATTGCAGTCGATAATAATTAAAAAAAAAAGTGTTTGGTAAACCGCTTATTTAATTGCAACCCCGAGCAGGACAACAGAAGACAAGATTCAATGTATAATGTCTTCAAATGTAACCATTATATAAATGCATACCTCCCAGATGTTAAGAAAGAAACCAATCCAACCGGTATGGGAGATGAATCAGTTTGAAGGAAGCTTGATCTCTTGATAGAAAAATGTTCAACTGCATGTGCTTGGAGATCCTTTAATTGCAGTGAGTCACAAATTGCATTTATGAAAGTGGTAGAAAGCTTGCAATGGACCAAGTGAATTGACTTCAAGGTCTTGCTATTCTGGTTTAAAAGTTTACATAACCCCTCAACCTGAGAAATTATGTGTGACAAATCAGATGATCCCAACATAAAAGAATTCCACAATTAATTGCTCATGGTGACCTCAATTATGTAACATATAGCAACGAAATAGTTTAAAGAAAGATTGGCTGGCATCATCATTTTACTTAAGGCCATCTCTCGATGCAGTTCAGAAGTTCTGTGTATGGCATCTGGTTAAAAAGACATAAAAAGCATAAAGAACAACAACATAAACACAGAGAGTAATTCTAGGCCTCAATTTTAGGAGTGAAGATATCAACATATCGAATTCATTCTGATTTTGATCTTGTCATGTAATATAGCTGAACTCAAGAGATAATGCAGTTGGTTACAGCTATTACACAACAGGAAGCACAAGGAAAGCAATGATTCATTTGATTATGCACGCATGAATATTTTTGCTTGGTCGGTCTTCTTCATTAGCTTATTTACTTTCCATGAAATTAAGAGAGACTTACATGGTCGGTGGATTTAATCCACTGAAGTTCCAGGCTTCCCAACTTACTGCTCCGTAACAAGTCCTGCAACAGACTAACAGCTAATGATAAAAGGAATAAAATGCCTAAAGCTTATTACATTTAATTACTAGATGAATCATTTGTAGAAGATTATATTTATCAGTTGACAAATGTAGGGCCAGTTTTCTCCGCTGAGGGTGGTAAATAATAATAAAATCATAAGTTCTGACCGACAAGGATCTATCAGTGGATTGAATTCAGGAAAGAAAGAAGTGAATCCATTTCTTAGGGAGAATTCTCGTAAGCCCATATGGATAAAATTAAAAAAAGGAATAGTCTTATGCGAAAATGGAAATATTTAAAGGCTGGTTAAGAAAAGTAAAAGGTTGTAAAGAGGAGTTCGAGTATTTCTTCAAACAATTGGAAATCCATAGAGAGTAAACCCCCAATTAGAAACTAGCTAAACATTGAGCAGTTAAGCTTTTCCTAGAACAAATGTCACAATTTGACAAGAAGCACTAGAATAGCTAGCCCTCGCAAAGACTTGACATTAAGGCAGAGAGCCCACTAATATTAATAAATGTTTAGGACAAACTTATTTCAGAAACCTCAGTAAGAAAAATATGGATAAAGCAGACAAGCACTATGTGCACGAGGTAGTGAAAGCCAATTTTGAAACAATACGACTGTCAGGTCACTAACAGGGTCTGTCTAACTTACACAAGTTTCTGCAACACAGAGTGCATTTGGAAGTCTTAGCTGTCTGCAACAGAAACAGATGCATCATAAAAATAAGTATCATAACATTACGTCCAAGTAATGAAAGATGCATTCAAGAAACACGTAAAATCAGAACAAGGTACATAAATTCTTGATTGTTGAAATGTAGCTTGATTGTTGAAATTAACAAGGTAAAGTACATGTTTACACATTCATCCTATACTACCTGGCATAAGCAGCAAATTTCTGGCAATGGTAAGAGAATTTGAGACAGTCAGATGTCAAGCTAATAGAGTGACCGCTAAGACCAATCTGTTGCAGTATACCATCTGCATAGAGCAAAACATTGATCAACTGATTCAGGCCTTGTTCTCTCTATACATAATAGTCTCAGGAAATTTCTCAGTTCATGAAAACTTCTTCAGATATAAACACCAATCGGAACAACATCTTGAATTAAAATGTGAGAAGATGCACAACTAGAGAAGTTTGTATTAAGTTTATGAAATAAATTCGATGCTCTGGCACTTTCCATAGCATAAGAGAGAATCCATGAAACAATATAACAGGGTAAAGAATAGCTAAGTTTTTCTTTTCAATAATTTATAGAACCATCATCCGTCGAGTCCAATTTTCTTTTGAATGTAAGTTTTCCAACTTCCTCCCTAGCTTGAGCAGCAAAGAGATAGAAAAATTTCAAAGGAAAGGAGACCAACTAACCGGGAATTTTTATTTCCGCAATGGAACCATCATAAGAAGGAAGCAAGGCTGTTTCTGCTACAGCATCCACGCAACTGCCAATAACAACGTGGTCAGATCTTCGTTATTAAAGTAATCAATCACAAGAGAAAATTGTATCACTTAGACTATTTGGTGATTAGTATACTCTTGCAAGTGTGCCTCCCAGTACATCTGCTGCCAGTCATCAACAGAATCGTACTTCACTTCATCTTGTTTATCCAACCAAGGCACAGGCTGCTTCTGCTGACCAAAACCAGGCCAACGAACTTTGTGTAGTGCACGCCATGCTGCATCTAATATCCCATATCTGTGAAAATAATAGCTTCATACTGATATTTCTGTAAGTAATTTGTCCTCATACATGTAAAATATACTTTTGCAATCTCAGATGCACCTTTCTTCCCAACCTTCTACGTTTTCGACAGTCTCCAAGGTAATCGTAAGTACAGTCAAAGCTATCCCTGAAGTTAACTGGCCTATATCAAGAAATGAAGCAGGTTATATGTGTGTTCATCACATGCTATATGATACTGAATATGCTACCGAAATCAATTAACTCATCAAACAAGCTTCCTAGTCACGAAAAGTTCTTTAGTTCATATGGAATAAAATTTCACCAAATTGCATAATCACTACTTATTAATGATTCAGTAACTTGCATCTCTCTAGAATTCCTTTCGATGCTTTTGAGTTTTGAACTCCACCCCCAACCCCAGCCCCCAAACGTAAAAATTAAAAGTACAACGGATAAATTTATTGATCTCTAGCATGAAAGTCCTATGCCATTTATTTTCCAAAATCAAAGATGAATTATGTGGGAAAATACTCATGAATCGATTATTTCTTATAAGTACAATTGTTCGAAAAAAGTTCTAAACTCACAAATTCTCTTGTAACTTCTGCAATGCCAATGGAGGCAAGTGCGGCAACAAGCTATTGAACAATTCTGACGGAAGTTCATAAATCACCATAAGAATATCATTGTTATCATCTCCTGTAACCACGAACAACAGCTATAAGAGTAGAATTCTAAAACAAAAGAAACCTAAATCAATAGCTGACAATATTTACCTTGCATAAGTTCGTCTGCAATGGCGGCGATGCACAAATCGACTAATTTTGGAACTCCGGCCATCGTTGAAACTAATTTCGAATCTTTGAAAGGCAAGGGTGGAATTTTCTTAGTAGCGAGTCCAATTGTGCTGAGAAATCCGACGAACTCGTAAACTCAGCACATATACTTACGACGGATTTTTCTCCGATCAAAACAAAATTCCAAAATTGCCAGGGCGGCGGCGGAGCGGAAGGAAGTGGAAAATCGGAGCAAGTGTTCTGTATAGTCTATTTGAACGGAGTATTTTTGTTCTGATTTTGAAGTGAAATTAGGCAAAAATGATGCTTTTTGGTCCTGTAGGTTTTGATTTTTCAGAGATTTACCCCAGCATCTTTTAAAGTGTTTGATTTTAGTCCATTTGGTTTCGTTTTTGGTCCTTTTGTGCTAAATTTTTATTTTATTTTGGGGAAATTTGTTTTGGAATGATAATTAATTTCAGAAAAAAATATATATTTGTTATATCTCAAGAAAAAAATAATTTATGTCCTCAATCCTACACCGGGTGATTGTCACGAGGTCGGTCTCCTATCGATAGAAAGAAGCTAATACCGTTGAACTTAGCCTAACGGTTGCTATCGTTTTCGACCGAATTTTCAACCAATGTGTCATTAATTAGTAATTGAAGACAACTCTCGATTTTGAAGATTATTAACCGAAAAATCTTGTACATAGGGCATAAGCTTCGAATTCGAAGAAATAACAACATTATCATCAAATAGATCGATCTACGTTTTATTTTCCCTCTCATCAGGCAATCAACCCACATTGGCTTCTAGGCAGCCTGGAATCTGAAGTACATATAGTTAACTAATTAGTTAACTAATTTAAACATGTACATGTTTAAATTTTTGTATATATGTTTTGGAGTATTTACAAATAGTATCTTGAAATATAATACACTAAATCTAAAAAATCGATTTATTTTTGATTTATTGCTGATTAACCATCTTTCCGTCGAGTCGATTAATCATGAGGCGGTGTCTAATCACCTCCAACCCCAACAGCGCTTCTTAAAACCTCGGTATAAAGTACTAGTCGACATCAACATGTACGGACATATTTGTTTAGCTTTTTTCAAACAAATTGTTAGACATGCCAATTATGATTTGCAACTATACATCTATATGACAGATATAAGAATATGTACTATGCTTTGAGCAATTGTATACCTAGTTTTTAGGCCATTTATTATTGTTGGCTTTTTAAAGAGCCAAAACCTTTCTAAGAAGCTTGTCTGCATACTCCTCTTTCTCATTTTATTTGTCGTTTTGGAGCAAAAACTCGTTCTGATAATGTGTTATAAAATAAACTCTCTATGTTATATATTTTCAAAGGCTACAGTAATCTAAAAAAGAAGGTTTGTTGAAGAAAAGTATTTTATATCTCCCGCACCACTATGACGATCTACTCGTACAAGAATATGCACCAACTCTATCACATTTGTATAAGTATTAAGAAATTCGATAAATGTGACTTTGATTTTCAAGATATATATATATATATATATATATATATATATATATATATATATATATATATATATATATATATATAAGAATTTATATATATATATATATATATATATATATATATATATATATATATATATATATATATATATATACTAAAATAACCTTTATTATTTAATAATTTATAAGAATTAATATCTAGGATTGAATTAAAAAAATTAAAACCTAATAATACATTTAATGCAGTATTGAAAATATAAAATAACAAATAATATGAAACACGTATATTTTTGACAAGTGACAATTACTGGAGGACAGAGAAATGTAGGCCCATTCGATTGGTTAAATTTAGGCCCATTCAATTTCCTTTTTCTCCAAAGGAAAATTCAAGGAACCAAAAGCCCAAAGCCACAACGTACTAATTTTTAACTTTTTTTAACAGGAAAAAGCCTACTACTCATTCTAATTCTTTTTTTTTTCTTTTTCTTTTTTTTTTCAAATCACCCTTCCCGGAAAGTAGGGGTGAACAAGAAAAAATGAACCAAAATCCAAGAACTGAACATCAAACTAAAAGACGAAAAACCGAAGCATTTCAACCCATTCCGAAGTTCGAACCGATGATCAGTGGTTAAACCATGATTTCATCACCAGACAGGCCGAATATTCATTAAAGATTAAAAATACCGCAGTAGAATTTGTCAACAATTATTGTTCGATATGTTAATTTGTAACTTCCTTTTTTCATATATAGAAAAATCGACTAAAAATAAATCGAACATGTCATATAAATAATAAAGCTGAACCAAAAAATCGAAAAATTCGAAATTAATGAATGAGATTGATAGAAAACAAAAATATGTTGGGTTTTTAATTTTCTAAAAACCCGAAAAAATCGATTGACGTTACGATTTTATCCAAAAATCGAGTGGAACCATGCTCAACTTCACACACATCCAAAATAGAAATGAGGTTGAATTTGTTG